CTTAACCTACATTAACATGGTGGTATTTACATAATCCAACAAGGACCTACAGTCACACCAAAAAATACCCAAAAAGTAGAACAGTCACACCAAACCAGCTATTTATCAAAGTTATCCAACATCCCTGCCAGTATTTGCTTTTTTTTTCTCCTCACTGCATTGCATGAAGATGTATGTCAAGTCTCTGTCCCTACCAAACTGCACACCTATGTGAACCATCTGAGGGCTAGTCAAATAATCAAATTTCTCAATCTCATCCATAATTGACCTTCGTCTATTACTTCCATCAGCTTGGTGTTGAAAGCATGACACCAATTTGTCAATGCTGTCAGTTGATTTGCGGTATACCTGAGTTAGATCTTTCATGACATCAACCATTTCAACAGAGAAAGGATCTTCACTCCTTTGCCTTTTCTTACCCTTTCTGGCAGGTGCAGTTGAAACCGGACTACTTGGCTGCACTACCTCTTCAGCTGGGATGTCAGGCATAGGAGGATCTTCTAAAGGAGTGGGAATATAGTCACCACTGATGTCTAGGTAATCATCGAAAGGGGTCCCACTGTCATCATACATGGCAGGATCCCGTTCCATTTCGCGTATTACATCATCTGCACCCACTGAATGAGATCCCGTTGCAACATCCTTACCAAAGATAGTTCCCAAAATGTCATAGTGCGGGAAAGGCTTGTTGTAAAGACCCTTAGCACTGGGATGAGACTACACAAATTACACACAACATTTATTACAAATATTTCAGTGTCAATTACAAATGCATTAAGATATGTAATGAAAGAATAAATAATAATAGAGATTTCTTTACCTTCGCCTAGTCATCAAATATTTGCCTCTCAACATCTATCATTTTCTTGGTATCGTTCCAGCTGAAGCCGCTCCCACCATTATGACCGACCATTTCAGCGATGGCATTATATTGTTTCTTCAACAGTTTCACCCTAGAAGTGATGTGTGGGCTAGCTCGCAAGTTGCATCCTGGTATCTTATTGTGCATCATCTTTTCTACGACATTGGAATAACTTGCCTTAAAGTCGTTGTCTCCTTTCCAACATAAACCTAAATCACTAAGACACTCTACGAGGACTTTATCCTCTTCTGCAGTCCATTGATGATTAATGCGTTTAGTTGACTGTTGGCTGTCTGCAGCCATGGTGCCTGGTTCTTTATTGGATTATATCTGTGAAACATGAAAAAACATAGTAAACTAAATTCATGAATAAAGTGGGAACCATTTCAGCAAAATACTGTACAACACTGTTGGACACTTAAATTAAGGGTTCACATAAATATAGCAACATAGCATTTTCCATGCTTTCAATACGACATATTAAAATAAGCAGTCTATTACATAACATTACAACATAAACACATTTTACTGTTTCAGTTTTGATGTCCACAAATGACACTTAGTACACATAAAGTCATATCATTTTCAAAGTCTGCTCTAAAATTGGAAATCAAACGCGATTCCTCCATGTATTGAACATGTGATTCGCCATTTGATCCCTTGAAACAGTCCATGCATTAGAAGACTCAATGTGAGTGATGAAGTCATTTCCTCCAAGATCAGCATCTACTTCGTGTGTTTGATCCACTTCTTCATCATCAAGAGGATCCACATCCATTTCTTTTCGTATATGATTATGAAGCAAGCAACATGCGATAATTATTCGGCATTGAGCTTTAACCGGATAGAAAGACTTTTATCGCACAATAGCCCAACGACCCTTCAGCATTCCAAAGCATCGTTCTATGACATTTCTTGCAGAAGAGTGCTTCATATTAAAGAATTCTTGTGCGGTTCTTGGGTGTGCCCCATGTCTCCATTCACTCAGATGATATCTCTGACCTCTGTATGGAGTGAGGAAACCTTCACCATTCATGTAACCAGCATCGCACAAGTAATAGTATCCTGCAACATTCAAACAACATCCAAAAATTATCCTATGATCGGGATTGAAAAAATTTTAATTACCTTACAATACATTACAACAACATAAACCTGGAAGCATATTACCTTTAGGGACCCTTAAACCGTTCGGACGAGAGATGGCATCCCTGAGTACCCTTGAGTCTGCAGCTGAACCCTCCCATCCAGGCAAAACATAAATAAACTGACCATCTTGGGAACAAACCTCCAACACATTGGTGGCTATCTCACCCTTCCTAGTCCGGTATCTAGCCTTGTCGGCTTGCAAGGGATAGACCTTGATGTGTGTCCCATCTAGTGCTCCCAAACAATTCTGATAATTAACCAACTAAAAAATTATTGACCACAATTCCAAATACAATGGACATTAGCATATGTACGTTTAAATGTAACAGTACGTATAGAAATGTTTCTGACCTTGAACGACTTCCACTTCTCATCAGTCGAGTTCTCTGGAACTGGTTCTGGTCGTTTAAATAAAAGTGTATGACACCGTATGACAGATAGCAACACTTTGGAGAACTGTCTACTTATGGTTTCACCAGATCGCATGAACTGTCTTTTAATTATCCTATTCTTCACATCATGGGCTAGAATATGTAGAAAAATTGATACCATCTCTTCAACACCCATATGTCTAGTCGGCTGCAGCCCCCCAACACTTTTCACCAAGTAACACAGTTTATGGAAAGCCCTTCTGTCCATCCTTGTATTCTCAATACAAGCCCTGTTACTTGCATGGACTATTCTATGGAAGTTGACTTCCCTAACCCTATTAAACAAGTTCCATGATACTCTCCTCCTTCTATTTCTCCTGATATCGTTACGGTGTAATAACATCGCACAGATACTAAATAACAACAAAATCAATTGTTGCATACACTCCAGATGAGCAATCAGTACAACAACCACACTAACTTCCATTCCATTGTTCATTGCCACAATCTAACATACAAAATACAAAAATTAAAAACCTTATATTTTATCATAACAAATATCATGTACCATCAACTATGGACATAACAGGGGGCTGTATTTCAGATAAAGCATAACATACTAGTGTGGAGCATAACCATTAAAAGCATTTAACCAAACAAATACGTATTACTTTCACCGAATAGGTATTTCTAATACACATTGTAACAACTACAATAGTTGTAATAGGCGAAATTTCAGTGTAACATCAATTCAGCTGCATGCAAAAATAGAAACCTAATAGGTGATATATCCAACAATCACGGCTATCAATTGATGCTGAAAACCCCAAAAGTCATGTGCTTAAGACCCTGTATTACTAAATTATGTAACGTGCATGGTTTCTTATTCTTATTAAGCAACTACAAAGTGCAGGAGAGTGGAATCTGAATGAAAGACATTGAGCCAATAGCCTAGAGGAGCCCTACAAAGAAACTAGGTATATTGGAGGTGACCTACATCAACATGAACTACTCAAAGTGGAAGTTCTACCTGGCCTTTTACTAGCCCTTTTGGTGGACTCTCTGATGGCAACAAAGATTGTGGGATGGGTGCGACAGTCAATGAAAATTTTCAATTTTTGGGGTATGCCCAATCAAAAATATGGCCCTCACTAGCCCTTTGATTCGGCCCATTATTGTTGTCTCCCTTTACTCTGTTGTCCGAGGTGAAAATAACTAAACTGATCACCTACTGTGCTTTAAATTAATGAATGGAGTAGGCAACACAAAGAACCATCCCATATTTCTCTGACTTTTTGCCCAACATTTAAAATTTCTCCATTTTTATATCGTGATGCTACTTTTCCAAAGATTCCAAGTAGTGGTTACTCCAGATTACAATACCAACTAACAGCTTGTGGGCCATTAAAAAGATGATGACAGAATGAGAAATCACAAAATCAGAAATTGAGAAAATGGCAATGGGACAGAATCACAATGGGACAGAAAATGAGAAAATGGCAAAGTTTACAATGGCAATGGCAATGGGACAGAAAATGCTCATTTATATCGTGATGCTATTTTTAAGGGATCTTTTTTCAAAATGACAAAATGATGACAGAATCACAAATCACAAATCACAAAATGATAATAGAATAAAAGATGACACCTATTTTTTACTTAGCTTCAGCATGAAAACGCAATGGGACTTACCACTCCATTCAGATATATTAATGCTAATTACAAGTTGTTTAAAAAAATTAAAATTATATCTCACTATATACCCTATCAGTGTGAACTAAAACTTCGACCGTTAGTGTAGAATAGAAACTGACCCATTATCATTTTGTTAAATCAGTATAACTAGATAAACCACAGCCTTTTCCTCGGATATGTAATGCACATAATTTGACCGACAACCCAAACAAAGTTAAAGGTGACCAGGACATCCATTTTGTGTTTGCAAAAAATGACCCACAACTTAATAACAGAGGATGAGTCCAACCACTTCGAAAAATCTTACCGGAACAGTGTTACCAAGGCAGTGACAAAATAACAGCAACATGAGCAATCGGTGGTAGAGGGACGAGAGCTTCACTTCGAACGAACCTGACGCGATGACTGATAAATGTTGCAACCCTTGCTCGTGTGTTTGTCAAATGATAGATGGTTCTGGATATCAGTGAATGTGTGGTTAGGAAAGAAGGGTATATTTGTCATTGTATTTTCAACCTTTTTCACTTATCCGATTCCCTCAACCAATACCACCTTTTCAATCGGCTTCTTCAACAGTGACCATATCAAATTTTTACTCTTCTTCTTCGATTGCAGGGGAAGCCTCTTTGCTGGGGAAATTGGCAACAAAACTTCAACCAAACGTGGTTGGCTAAGAATCCCACTCCCACTTTGCCACCAAAGTTTTAACTTCTCCCCAACCAAACACCACCTAAGGTCTCTCACATAAGTAGGCTATCATATTTTCACAAATGGCAAAAGAAAAATAACAAAATAAGTTATTTTCCTCATTGTTGTTTCTTTCAGGGTGTGTTTGGTACAAGAGAAATTTTTTGGTGACCGGGAATCATGATTAATGGGAATTCAGTAGAAATTAAGTTTACTTGGAATCTTACGAAAGATGTGTTTGGTTCGCCAAAATATTACCGGGAATATTGGGTAAAAATTACTGATTCCATATTTGGTTTAGAGCGAAATATGACTTGGAATATGAGGTTATTTTACAAAAATAACCCCAAACTATTTTTACTTTTGTAATTGATAGATTGAGTCTAGATTTTTATGTGTATTGGGGTATTTTTGTCTCAAAATTTATTGTTGTGCTTTCCCTTTACTTGGTATTCTGATTGGTATTCCGAATTATCATATTATTTTTGGTAATCTGAATAGTGACTTTTCTTTATAAATCAAATTACCGGTAATCCTTGGATATCCGGGAATCGTAATTTATTCCTTCTACCAAACGTGGTAATTACATTTACCAAAGAAGGATTACCGGTAATCCTCTCCAAAAACTTGAACCAAACACCCCCTCAATGATATCTTTGTTGATTTCTTATGATTCAGGGATTATGAGAGGCATTGACACATTCAGGGATATATGCTTGACGGTATTTTTTTCTCTAATTAAATATAGAAATGGCTACAATTGGGTTGACTCTAGCTGTTCTATATTTTTTATCCGATTCTTTTCATTTATTTTTTTAAATTTATATTATAAAGAATAAGTTCAACTCAAAAGATTAAGCCGTTGGGCGAAGTTTATTTAATGGTTTTATATTTATATAATATGCCCCTCGTACAAGAGTCCAGTAGATTTGATGAATAGATAATGTATCATGCCTAGCCTACCTGTGTTAAGAAATTTAATAATTTTTAATTATTATAATGAATATTTCTTTTGTATCGTAATCATGCCATGCAATGCAACTAATTCATTGGAATTTTCATATGGAGAAATCTATCGTGACTCGTGAAATGTTTCATAATATATTATGAAGATGAATTATTTTATATTAGTGAAACAAAATTATAAAAGAGACATACAAATATCCGAGAGAAAAAAAATAAAAGGTGAGACTCACTTTTGTTATATGTGTGTAAGAATTTAATTTATCTTATGTTGAATAAAATAAATATAACGCTACGTTAAATACCAATTATGAAGGGATGAGGATAAGGACGTGATTTCCAACCCTTGTCCTTAATCCTTGTAGAAATGTAACTGGTAGAGATAAGAGTGCATGACAGACAGAGCGTTATTTTAGGTTAATGTCCACCAAGCAGCCTCAATCGGTTTTTTTTTTTAAAGCAACAACAGTTTGTTCTATTCATAGACAAATGAGTTCCACCACCCAAAACATTCACACTTGCTTCCTTTGCAATGCACGCAGAGGAAGTGAGAGAAACACACAGAGAAAGGTCGCGATCTCATTCTCCTCCAAACAAGGTCACGATCTTCCTCCATCTCGTCAGCTTCTCAAACTGCACCCACTTTTTATCTTCACTACACATTGCACAAAGTTTTAATTAGTTTTTCTATATCCTTTGCATTCTGCTTGTTATTGGGTCTTGAAAGGAAAAACAGAAAAAAAAAACAAAAAAAAGATATAAAAGAAGGGAAACCAACATGGTGGCTCGATCATTTACTCGTTTTGTGGAGCAACAACTGGGAAAGTTCCCTCACTTTGTGATTTGTATGGTGCTTGAATGGGTGTTGATAATTATACTTTTCCTTGATGGGTTTCTTGCATTTTTTGCCAAGGAGTTTGCCAAGTACTTTGATTTGGAAATCCCTTGCTGGCTCTGCACTAGGATGAGTCATGTTCTGGCTTACAAAACTCCTAATTTTTATTACAACAATTCCATATGCGAGACTCACAAGAAAGAAGTTTCGTCTTTGGGGTTTTGTCATAATCACAAGAAGCTCTCTCAAATAAGGAAGATGTGTGAAGGGTGTCAGCTTTCATTTGCAACCGGGAAGGAATCAGATTGTGATATCTACAAGTCTCTTGTGGGGATTCTGAATAAGGAAATGGAGTGCTTTGTTGGGGATGACCAAAATATCCAATTGAGTTTGAAGGATGATGGGGTCATGCAGGTTAATAAAATCAGTACACAGAAATGTTCATGCTGTGGAGCACCATTGAAAGTCAAGTCTTCCATTTCAAAATTGAATAATTCAGCCTCATTTTCACGAGCTCCCACTACTACACCACGAGCTCATTCATACATGGCATCAAGAAATGATGAATCTCGTGCTCTCAATTCGCCTCGCATCCTCAATTCCCCTCGCATCCGGTATGCAGAACTCAAGTTTATGTCCGAAAATGGTTCAGAGCTTCCACAGAATGAGGATAGCAACAATGCAAAAAATCAGTATATTAAATGTGAGTGGATATATCATATAAATTTCCTGGGAATATATATGTTAGCTTGTGCAGTTTATACAAAAAAATGCATGCTTTTACTGGTTTTTGAGTTTTTTTAATGAGATTAATGACTCAAAAGGTGCCATTATAACTATGTTGATAATGTTCCTTTCATTTTTCTATGCAGTAAAGGAAGAAGCAAAAGGTGCTTCTTTGCCTCTATTGACAGAAGGAGAGGACTTAAACAATGAGTCCCCGAGAACCCCATTTTTTGTAAGGGGAAATAGGTTCTTTGTGGCCCCACTTACAGATTCTCCAATCAACAGTCCAAGATTGTCTTACGCGATTAACAAGAAATCACCACTGGAAAAGACAGAATTTGCCTCTGACTCCAACGAGGGAAATAGTCAAAATGAAGAAGCAGATGATGCCATCTTAAACAATTTGAAGAGGCAAGTTAATTTGGACCACAAGTCACTCATGGCTTTGTGCATGGAGTTGGATGAAGAAAGAAATGCTTCAGCTGTTGCTGCCAACAATGCAATGGCCATGATCACGCGCTTACAGGAAGAGAAGGCAGCTTTGCAGATGGATGCATCGCAGTATCAGAGAATGATGGAGGAGCAGATTGAGTATGATGAAGAAGCCCTGCAAGAAACTAATGACATACTTCTCAAACTAGAGGAAGAAGTCAAAGCTTTAGAAACAGAATTGGAGATTTACAGAAATAAATATGGATGCCTAGCAGAAGATGATTTTAACGAAACTTACCCTTCTTTTGGGGACAACAGCTCTCCATTCAGGTCCATTGAAGGTGAGGATAATGTAGAAAAATACCCGAATCTTCATCGAGCTCTGTCATCAAAGACGGAAAATGGAGGTGAAAAGTTCAACGAGCCACTAAAAGATTTTAAAATGGAGAAAACATATCTTCTTGGCCGGATGAAGAAAATGGAAAACAGAAATCTCTCGGCGAAGAGTGGAAAATTTTCCTCACAATATAGCTTTGACACTATTAATAATGTAGAGAATGAGACAGGTAATGTCACAGACATGCCTACATTTACATGAATTTCATATTAAGGTTGCTTCAAGAAGCCAAAAGAAGCCTAGCTTGTGATGGATGTTGTAAGTTATTCACACACTAGATGCTTTGCGAAGGGGCAGTTCAAGTATCCGAAGCATGGGTGTGAATTTTGTCTCTCACCATCTGTATATAATACTTGCAAACCTTCGGGTCAAAGTGTGAGAACATCCCCATTGCTAGGCCTGTAGTAATCTTAACTAGGATAATTTGGACAAACTTGTCTAGAATTTAAATGTTTAGATGATTATTTTAAACATTTCCCTTTCTTTATTGGTATGTACTTATATCTTGTATGGAAGATATACAAATTATACTGCTGGCTCTGAAGCTTCGCTAATTTGTAAGTATAACCCTCTCTTGTGGCAATAACTTTAAATTCTTATGTTGGATGGGATCTTACCACAACTTTATATTCTTATGAATAGTAGCAGATTTTCCATCAAAATGTAACAGAAACATTAACATATCAAATTTAATTATTGTTTATGAACAATAAGATACAGGAATCTGAGACATATTTGGCGTTATCCAATCCATTTCTGACAATGACTCAATTTTACTAACTTGGGGTAATTTTCATACCGTCTCCACTCGGGAAACGTGAATACATATCCTGCTAATACATGTGAATTATGATACAACAACTCTGGAGAGAAGAATCCTATCACAGCAAGGTTTTAAAACGAAAACCACAAGAAGATTATTTCAGTTTCTAACATAGTGAAGCACAACATGCCCAGTCAGATGAAGCACATGGAGATTAGATGTATTTCTCACAAAATGGTATCATACTATGACAATGGACACACAGACCTACAGTTCTCTGCACCAATTGACTAGGTTGTCAATGCATCATGTTAACCAACCAACCCCACTGAATCTTTCTTTTTATTGTAAAAAAGCACACTGATTCATCTGTCATTGAATTATGTTGCTTTCTCGAAACCACCAGCTATCTGCATATGCAGCCATCCAGGTTGTGATCCCTGAGCATACCCTCTGGCTGCTTGTGATCCAAATATCATTCCAGCTAGGTCGAATGGCTGAGTACCAACCTGAACCAACAGATCAGCTGATTAAAATCACAATATTATGAAAATAAAAAGTCCCAAAAAACAATGAAGTGTTGGAAAAATGTTCTAGCCTTATAGGTCTAGGACTCAAGAACAAATTGTCCCAATTGAGAATATTTATCTTTGATAAACACTGCAAATCTTTCAAAATGGTAGGAGGTTTCATTACCATAGTCTTTGGAGTTGACTTATTAGGTTACTTTCGACGACTCAAAAAGTCATTTTGCACCTATAGTTATGTTTTGGACAAGCATAAAACAAAAAAGTTAAGTGCAAAGAAAATTCCCCAACGTGGAGTCAGTTTGAATCCAAAAGTAGAAAATTCATTATTGACTCATTAATTGCGTAGAAAAGTTAATTTTGCAGTGACTTGGAAATGTTCATTCAGCATCATCACCAATTGATCACTTCGTCATAATTCATTTTGTATTTAATACTATGGAAAAGCTAATTTTATATTATGTTGATGTTGATGTTAATTTTATATTATGAATCAATATTTTATATAACACAAGCCAAACTATCATAAACAAGTACCATGTGTGCAAGAATCTCTAAATTCTTCTGGGAGAGAAAAACAATCTTAATATTAATAATTAAAAAGAGAAAAGTTCATGAAAGATGCAACAAATTAAGCAGCCAACGTACAAAAAATGAAAAATTGGACAGTGAAAAGCACAAGATATAACCGGTAAGCAGCAGAACATGAATCACAAAGAAGTTAGCAATCCAAGACGAAGTCTGGAGTCAAGATAGTGAAAGCTTACAGAACATTTCCTAAAGATCACTGTAATCTGTTAATTTACACTTAAATGAATAAGTCTGGATGACAATTAACAAGATTATTGGATTCTGAGTTCCACAGTATTCACAAAAAGATTCAGCTCATTATTTTCTTAATCCTCTTCTAATTTGGCTTTTAGACACTCAAAAAAGTTTCCAAGGTCCCAATAACTGGCGCAGCTGTTCGAATCAGTGAAGTTTACTTTATTATATTTCTAAAAGATGCTAGGAAATTGTATGGACCCCTATACTTACAAATCGATGCATTCAATTAGTTTATTTATTAAAAAAAATAAAATTGTTGCAGAACTAATCATTTCAGTAAACAATTCCCAGACAATAGCACCCCAGAATATAGAATTTTGCTTAACATTTTCTAAAACGGAATGGGTTTGATGTTAGATTAACATATTTAAGTCTTTGACGGACTTACATCTTTTGAAGGAAAACATTCAATAGCAGGGTTCATGTTCAATCTCGAATTAACTGCTTCAAGCTTCATCGAAAGGAACTGCAAACAACAAAAAAAGTTATTTTGCACAGAATTAGATTCCATCATCGAGTGGGAATGCTCAATTGAGATAGAAAGATGAAGATATCCACCTCAACCTGACGCTGCAGTGACTGAACGTAATTGATTATCTCATCCAAGACAAGTGCTTTACCAATTACCTAAACAGTGCCAAAAAAAAAATTATTAACATGAAAATAAAAATAGAAGCAAAAATATAGCAGTGATGCAATATAACATAACATTAAGATTACCCTGTTACATCCGGGTACTAAATCTTGAAGAATTTTCATTCTCTCACTGATTTTTTCTCTTCTTGCCTGCAAAAACTGACATGCTCCTGAATAAATAATAATAATAATAATAATAAAATTCTAAATATTTTAACACTTTTTTTTTTTTTTTTCATTTGTATCAGGATCAAGAAAGGCTAGTTGATAATATTACTCTCTCTGCAAGACTGTGGCTATCGGTAGCTTGGCCTCTTCTTGCTCTAACATGTATGTAATCTTGCTTAGGTGGCTCAGAAAAAGGTTTAGCAGTTTGTTCAGGTAACTTGTTACCGGCTACTGAAGTTGCATCCGCTTCAGCTTCCAAAGCACCGTTTTCATCGGAGTGATTGGGAGAATCATCCTTCCTCCTCTTCCTGCGATTTGGAGTGTGGTCGGGGAAGGAAGGGAAATGAGGAATAGGCATAGGCCAAATCTCGGATAAGGAATAAGAAGAAGGGTTAGCAGAAGAGAATGTTGAGTCGTTGATTATCGGAGCCTGACCCTCCATTGGAAGAAAGTGAGGTACTAGGAATAGGAATAGGAATAGGAATAGTTGTAGTTGCTTATCATTAATTGAGTTTCCAATTAGGAGGGAGAGAAAACATAATAAGAGTTTGAAAGACACTGAGACTGAGACTCGGACAAAGACAGAGAGACATACTTGGTTTCAAGTTTCAAGTGTGAGTGAGGTTAGTTTCTTATCTATCCATTACCGGTTTTTATCTCATCAACCCCCATTCCCATTCCCACCTTTTTAAAGAGGAAAATTAACAGTATGTATATCGTATGAGTGTATAACTTCAAGTATCATATTATATATGTGTACTTCTAACATGCACCGTACACTTTAACAAAATTATCTTCCTTGTTCTACCTGTTCTTTTCAATAGAATTTATTAGCCTACTTTTTACTTTATCTCAACGTACATAGCTCATTCCTGCCTTTCCATCCTTGGGTCAATAAAATCGGTTATATGTTCAATAGTTGGTGGGATAAATTGCGCTGATTTGAAAGTTTACGAGAATATATTATTAAATGTTATGATGAATGTCCTAGTTTCTCCCTTACTTGGGATATCTCGAGAATTCACTCACACACACACACACGTAGGGTGCGGAAACGGATCGACACGACACGAATTCGACACTACACGAATACATCAATACTAACACGACATAAATTTTTATTCGTGTCAAAATCTTCAATACTGACACGGCACGAATTTTTTGCGAGTTGACACGACACGACATGAATAACACGCAAAATAGGAGTCAAAATGGTAATTGACAAATTTTTTTTAAAAAATGGATCGATATTAAAAAAATTAAAAAATAATAAAAAATTAAAAAAAAATAATTAAAAAAAAATACGAGTCGACACGAACACGACACGGATTTTTTTGCAGGTTAACCCAAATACAAATTTTTATGTCATGTCGCAGGTCGACCCGCGTGTCAAAACCTATATTGACACCCTTACACGCATGTATCTTGTTTTGTGATCTTTTATGATAATATATAGAGAAAATTTCAAAAAAAAACCTCATAGGCTCTTAGAATCATTTATTTCCTTATGGTAATTTTTTTTAACTTACCCTCTATGATTTTTTCTATTCGGTCTCTCTACTAACTTTGCTAAAAATTAAATTAAACAGTCAATTTTACCCTAGTAAACATAATCATTGTAAACAAAACAATGTTATTCTATAATGGTTTTTTTTTCATCCAACTCTGATTGCTTTTAAAAATTTATACTAACCTGACAACAAACTTTTCATCCCAAGGATATTGAGAAAAAAATTACAATAAAAGTTACAAGTTAGCAACTAATTTCGATCCTCCAATAAGACAATATTCACAACATTATTAGCAAAATCAAACGCTTAGAACTATTGTTTTTCTTCTTACCAATTTATATATCTTAATAAAACTAACTTGTATTTTATTCACAATTATTGTTAGCTAGAGTTCAATTTGATTCATGTTATTTGTGTTTTAACTCAATTTATAATAAATGATGAGTCGATTGAACTCTTTTTATTTTAACTCAATTGGCTCCTCATTTATTTAAATTTTTCTAGATATTTATATTTTATTCATGGTTAATTCGTTTCTCATTTGTGCGTATTTACTCATAGCTTTCAGCATAATATTGATGAGTATTGTACGTCAATAGACCAATCTTTTTTTTTAAACATAATATATTAGTATTTTTCCAACATTTTTATTTTTCTTATTACCTATCTCTGCCTCATTTTGTTTTCATTTTAATTTTTGAACCCAAAATAAAAAATATATTCACATATAAATTGATTACATAAATAATCTTTAATTTTATTTATTAAATTTAAAATATTAATACATTTATCAAACTCAAGTCAAGTAAATTTTATTAAAGATAAATAAATTTGTAAAAAAAGAAAATACTAGTTCTAAGCGTTCATTCTTGCTACTAATATTGTCAATATAAATTGTCTTATTCCAATTTGCCCCTCCCCCATCCACCATCCTGCCCCCATTTAGTCGATTATGTTGCACTTTTAATCGACTAAATGGGCTAAACTCAGAAATTATGAAACGCGAATTTTAGTCGACTAAAAACTCATCTTAATCGACTAAATTGTTTGCACTTTTAGTCGACTAAGCACATTATTTAGTCGACTAAATGTCGCAGATCAGGTTTTTTAAAAAAAAAACCCCCCCCCCCATTTCGCAAAGGGGGTTATTTTCAAACCCTAATCGACTAAAAGGCTGCATTCCGTCCCCTCTCTCCAACCAAGTCCGAATCTCAACCCTTGAAGGTGCGATTGAAGCTTCCTTGGTTCACACTTGCGAAATCGACATTTAGGTAACGTATTCTGACTTGCATTTGGTTTTAAGTTTAGTTTTTTTTTTGGTTTTCTTCATGCATTTGATTTATGTTTGCGGTTTTGTGGATTTAGGTTAGGGGTAGGGTGCTAAGTTTGTTGTGAGGGTGAGGGTTAGGGTTGATGTGGTGCCTTAGGCTTAGGGTTAGGGTTATGTTAGGGTTAGGGTTAGGGTTAGGGTTAGGGTTTATGTTGCTGTTTTGGTTGGGTTGTAGTGTTTAGGGTTAGGAATGGGTTTTTGTGTTTTGTTTTAGGGTGTAGGGTTAGGGTTAGGGTTAGGGTTAGGGTTAGGGTTAGGGTTTCTGTTTCTGTTTTAGGGTTAGGGATTGGGTTTCTGATTTCTGTTTTATTTTAGGATTAGGTTTTGTTTTTTATATTGAATTTTAAATTTTTTGATATTGTTATTGTTCATTGATTTTTGTTTCCACTTGCATTGTAGATACAGTTGTTCCCATGGCTGGCCGTAGAAGATCGTCTAGCACTGGAAATGAGAGACGACAGAAGCTACGACAAGACCGTCCGTCTTCGTCAAGGCCACAAGAGGAAGACCCCGCTGCTGTGGACCTCCCATTCGGATACTTGTTCGAGAATGACCCGGTGGTTCATGAATCTTTTGTCCGTGACTTTGTTAACCGACCGATTTGTGGGGCCAAATCACTTGATACAGCCTTTTTTGAACAAGAAGGTTTTAACATTGTGAGGTGGTTGGAGGAATCACATCTTAGGACCTTGGCTGAACTGTCGTGTTCATATTCTGAGCTGCATGTACGGGCCTTCTACCATAATCTCAGCTACCATCAGGGTGAGCTGAGGTCTAGGGTCTGCGGGGTGGACATCATCATGACGGCTCCGGTATGGTTGGAGTTACTGGGGTATGACTTTGATTCTGCGCAGACTGTGGAATATGACGCAGACAGCGGGACCATACTTCCAGGATATACACGCGGTGATGCCGTGCAGGAGCAGAGGAGAGTCCGTGGGCAACACATTGCCTATACGGTGGGGTTGCTTACTGTGGAGTCCCGCATACTACACTATGTCATCACCCACATTTTGTTTCCGCGAGCGTTCAATCATTCCAGGGTGTTGGAGCATGACATTCCCATCATGTGGGCTATCCGACATGGTACTTCGGTGAACTGGAGGCACTACATGTGTTGGATGATGTATAAGGCCAAACACAAGGGTGCACTTCCATTTGCTTGTCTTGTTCAGAGGATATTGGAGCATTTTGATGTTCCCATGGGTAATGTGACCTTGAAGAAGACCACAGGGTATAATCATAAGTTTGGAAAACGTCTACTGGAGCAGTGCAAGATGACAAAGAACCCCCAAACAGGAGTGTGGCAGTTCACAGGTGCGGCTGATGTTGAGGTTCCTGATGTTGCTCCAGTTGTAGACATGGTTGACCCCGAGGTGGAGGATGATGATGACGATGATGATGAGGGTGACCAGCAGGAGATAGCTGAGCCTGAGGGTGGGTTTTCATTACGTGATGTCATGAAGGGCATAAACGCCACGCTGAAGAAAATAGGAAAAATGGCGCTGAAACACAAAAAATGGAGGAAGAGTCACGTGCAGAAGGGAAATGAAAGATTTAGACATATACAGGGACGGTTCAAGGGTGTTGAAGATAGGCTTGCTCGTCTAGAGCTTGGACGAGGACAGCAGATTGAGGATGTTGCAGGGCAGGGGGCTGATGTGTCAGATGAGGATGACGAGGAGACGGCGTCCGAGGAGGATGAGGATTAGATTTAGGGTTTATGTTTCTATTTTACGTTTGTAGTGTATGTTGTTATGTAATTGACTTCGGTCTTCCTATTTGACATTTGTAGTTTATGTAATATTATGGTTATGAAATGAACTATTTGATGTTCCCATCATGTTGTGAACCGTTTACGTAATTATTGTTGTTTTCTTGTTTACCAAATGAAGGAACAAATATCTTTTACCTTCTTGTTTTCAATTTGTGTCTAATCACAGTCCAACGGGTCTAAAATGTCCAATGAAATTCAGAACAGGTGACCTTAACAGAGTTAAAATAAGAACAGAAGTTTCGGATACCCTAACTTGGAGCATTTATGCAGTACATGTACATTCGTGGTTTATAACCTGTACAATACTATTTTGTACCTGAAAGTGTGTTCCCCAAGTCATTATATGCGTGTACATTGATATTCGATCGGTTCCGTGCCAAAAAAATGCGTGCAAAACAGAATGGGGTGTCAAAACCAGTTATTTAGTCGAGCAACCTGTACTGGTTTAGTCGACTACACAGTTTAGTCGACTAAACCAGTACAGGTTGCTCGACTAAATAACTGGTTTTGACACCCCATTCTGTTTTGCACGCATTTTTTTGGCACGGAACCGATCGAATATCAATGTACACGCATATAATGACTTGGGGAACACACTTTCAGGTACAAAATAGTATTGTACAGGATTCGTATGCGATTGGGTACGTATTACCCCAAACCGTTTGTTTACGCTCCCCGAAACTTGGTGATTTCATTTTTTGGTAATATTAGTATTAGTTATGAGTTTCAATCTATCAATATGGACCAATGTTAGATAATGGACTTAGAAATGAAATGTCAAATTACATAATGAGTTATACAGTAACACAAAGTAACATCAAAATGTCTTACAAGAATTACATGAACTCTTACAAAAGACCTTAAATACATGCACAACATTGGTTCAGCTAGGATTAATCCTCATAGGACATGTACGTTTATTGTGACCAATTTGCTTGCAGGTGCTGCATCTAGTTTGACTGCTTGTGGGTTGGGACTCAACCCAATCCATTTCATTCTGTATCCTTGAAGACTTCGGTCTTACCTTGTGCACGAACCAAAGATGCATTTGGGATTAA